TTGATGGGGTGGTATCATGGACAAATCACAGGGTCATTGATCTGGAGAGACTTCTTGCAACAGAAGTAGTAGCAGCGGCACGTATGGTTCCAATGAAGCTGGTTGGCTATGCTGAAGATGCTGATGTGATCTTCATTGGTGTGCATCCTAACATTTACATGATCCATCTCAAGTCCATGCAGCAGCGATGGGGCCCTACAGATATGTTTTTCCTTACACAAGTTTCTACACTTGACGCACTGCCATTATTTCTGATATCACATAGTTCACTTCATCTTCAAAAGTGTATCTGCTTTGCAGATGCTTTCAAATATACGAGCCATTACAGATGACATGTTTTCATGGAACTTCTTTTTAAAGAATTGCTTAATGAATGTTTAAGCGGCCATTCAAACTCTGCACTCTACAGATTATAGATGCACACATCCTCTCGCTGCTGATTTGTTTATTGACTCATTCTTCTCATAGGAATCATCACCGGTGCTGGAGATGATCAAGTTGAACTGTGAATGGCACTTGAGATGATTGTGCCGTCATATCTGCTACCACACGTTGTTGCTTCAAGAGGTGATGCAACATTTTCTTCTAGTACATGTGCACATGTTTCTAAATGAACGGATCAACATTATCAATATTCTCTGTATTATCTGTAACACAGAACGCAGTTTGAACTGGGAATGGCGTACTCATTTGTCTCCTTTACATATTCTTTCTCAACTAGTCTCTCTCTAAATTAATATAAGATCTTTTAGATCACTACTTTAGTGATCTAAAAGATCTTATATTAGTTTACAGAGGGAGTACCATGTTTTGAGAGAGAAACCATTAGTTATATTTCTCTAGCCTTAGATGAGTATCTCCCAGGCCCCTCTCTTGGAAGTTTGTAATTGTGAACCACTTCTTCATCGATCTGCACACTTCACCGTGTCCATGTGCTCCCTACTAGTGATGTAATTTATCGTCAGTTAGTTTTATATCGTTTCTTCAATATACTTTTGCTATATAGTACGTTAAGCAAGAGCTGAAGTCTGCATTAGAGAAAACAGAGTGATATAAGGGTCCACACTTCCAATCCTCCATATGTGATGTGCAGGGTCCAATTGTGTGGCTTTGATAAATTTCAATTTGCTAGTAATCTCATCATGAGCCAAAAGTATAATTATAAACCAAATGATACAAATATGGCACCTCACATGACTGGTTCAGTTCATTGTTCCTTTGATCATTCCATGTGTTCTTGCTACTGAGATGCTGTGATATGGAGACAGCATAACGGTTCTCCTATTTCTGTTTTGGAATGGCTTTTGCCTGTCATGAGCTCAGCTGATGAGATTGCTTGTTGTGCAGGTACCTAGGCTCTTTGTCCATTGTTATGATGTAGAAACAACTTACTGGTGCAGATTCAGTCCTATGTGTGCCTCAAGCCCTCAACTATACGCTAAATGTGACGTTGACGTGCAAAACTGGTCTAAATAATCATTGCATGCTATCTTGATTTGTATACTACTCCCTCCGTCCGGAAATATTTGTCGGAGAAAGGATGTATCTAGGTGTATTTTAGTTCTAGATACATCCATGCCGTGTAGCTCATTTGTGCTGAATTCACCAGGGATTTTTAGGAGCTTAAATGCCGTGTAGCTCATTTGTGCTGAATTCACCAGGGATTTTTAGGAGCTTAAATGCCGTGTAGCTCATTTGTGCTGAATTCACTGACGCAGTGCCGAAACCAATTTTTCAGATATTCTAGACACGTTCAGATTTACGACACACATGATGTTTCTTTGTTTCTGAGGTAACCCTTCTTCTATGGTACTGGCAGTCTGGCAGCATTTGACTTCAGATAGCATGTTTTGTCATGATTGATCATGAGCCACTAAACCAATTTCGAGAGGCTTCTCTCTTCCGGTTCTGATTCTGATTCATCACGAGCCACTAATTTCAGCTTTTGACTTTGTACTTACTGAACTTGAAGCGTATGTGTCATAAGCAGTTTAATGCTTCAAGTTTGCATGCAGGCTTCTACTCCTAATAGTTGGACTTTGGACTTTTTGGTGTGTATCACCTTGAAAAGCCTGAAGTTGCTTGATGGCGGTGTCATTTAGTTTCCGCATAAATGCTGATGATTGCAGAGAAATACATTTTTTTAGACGACGAGAGAAATATAGGTGTGTATGCCCTGAGAAAGATTGGTCAGAAGATTAACAATGGGACACCAAATGTGCTAGTGAATTCAAAGTCCAGATTCAGTCTTAGTTACAGCTGCTGCAAGCACTCTGCTGGTCCAAAGTCCGAACTCTGATTAAATCCCAGTGTTAATTATACATGATATTATTCGTCTTGGAACTCTCGTTATATACACTCTGTCCTTTACCTGTAGTTGTCATTGCTCGTATATGTATACATGACATATTACAGTGAAATATTGTTATCGAGAAAAGCACATTCAAGTTTGAGTGACCTGGTCCATTTATACCTAGTTCTGTGATTTTAATTAGATGACCCTGTAGTATGATGCCTGACCTATCTATGTTCTTTCTTTTCCAGAGTTAAATGCACAGAACCGTCATGACTAATGGAAAGCCACCACTTCACGATTCGTGACATTTTGCATCGAACCGAAAATTTGACAGAACACTAATTCAAAATGCAACATCATCGCATTCCTAGTCGTGAATGAACTACAGGTGCACAATCCTAGTCCTATTGATGGTGATGGGTAAGCCTAACTACTTGATGGGGAAGTTCACAATCTTCCCCCCAAAATTTTCGAGCACGCTGTTGAGATCGACATCATCGCACCTTATCGGCACCAGGGATGACTATGTCGGGTTCATGTGCAGGCCGAAGGCATCACCCAAAACCATGCTGGAACCCCATTAGCATGTCGATCTCATGGCGGTCCGAGCTGGCGAAGATGAGGGCCGCCACCTCATGTGCAGGCTCACCGGTAGCTTGATTTCCTTCTCTAGCAGCGGCCTGGGGATGTCTATGTGCGCCGCCACCTCGAGCAAGCGGTGTAGTGAATCAGTGGCCAGAATGAAGAGGAGGAGGGTTGACAGAAAAAAAAGTGAAGTTTTGGATTTTTCGAAGAATCGCAAACAGAGTTAGGACTCAAGTGGATGGATTGGGGAGGACTAGATAAGTTAGAAACTTTGTGTTTCTATAAGATAAAACTTCAAGGTCGATGTCACTAACACACTAAAACTTTGTGTCTCACGTGGGATAAAAAATCAAAGAAAAACTGTCTACATTATCCTTTTCCCCCAATTCCCAAGCGCGCGACATGGATGAGCTCACCATCAACGCGCACTACACACGCCACAGAGCACCCGCCGGGACCAGATCTAGAGCCCCACTGCACGTAGTTGTCCTTGCTCGTCGTCCAGGGCTCTTGACACGCCCCGGCAAAACAATCGCGTAGAAGCACCAACGCACGACTTCTTGCATTGCCCTTACGACGCCCTTCCCACGGAGCCCACGCAACATATTTGTGCTGTTTGGCCCCGTCGCATGCTTAGGACACCCGCGCCGCATAGATCCGCGCCCGACCTCACAACACGCCCCGTGCCCCAAGTAGGATGTCCGTGACACGCCACCGCGTGTAGAACCACGCCGCCCCTGCGCTCCCTCAACGAGTCGTCCCGCCCCCGAGCCAGCGTGCTCGTCACACAAGTAGTGTCGGAATATTGAAGTGGCTCTGTTACCAATCGTCACATTATTACAGAAGCAAAGACCACTCGATCCTTGCCATCGCAAAGCGTGCCAATTCCCACCCAGGGCCTATCAGAGTGCTTCCAGGCCAGCCACAACCATCGCAGCCGCAACGCACGGCTGAAGCGCATCAAGTTGAGGATGCTGAGGCCACCTCAATCCACCATGTGAGGAGACCATTTGCCACTTTACTTTGCATTTTGTACCGGCGAGCTCATCGTATTGCACCCAAAGGAATCGTCGCTGCACCTTGCTGATGTCTTTGAATTATTCTTTCCGAGCATGTGGGACGAGTGCAAAGGCTGGCATGGCAGAGAGGACGCACCGAACAAGCACCCGCCGTCCCACAACGGCATGAGACGGCCCTTCCAACCGACGAGCCTCGCCCTAATCCTATGAGGGATGAACTACATGTGCACAATCCTAGTTCTATTGATGGTGATGGGTAAACTTAAGTACTTGATGGGGAAGTTCACCATCTCTCCGGTAAAAAATTTGAGCACGTTGTTGAGAGTGCACCTTATTGGCACCATGGATGACTTTGTCGGGTTCATATGCAGGCTGGAGGCATGATCAAAACCATGCAGGATCTCCTTTAGCATGTCGATCTCATGGCGTTCTATCTAGGTTGGTGAAGATGACCACGTTATCGACGTAAAGGCTCACTCGTAGCTTGATTTCCTTCTCTAGCGATGGCCTGAGGATGTCTATGTGCGCCGCCGCCTCGAGCAGGCGTTGCAGTCGATCAATGGCAAGAATGAAGAGGAGTGTCGACAGAAAAAAAAAGTGAAGTTTTGGATTTTTTTGAAGAATCGCAAAGGACTCGAGTGGATGGATTGGGGAGGACTAGATAAGTTAGAAAGTTTTGTGTTTCTAGGATAAAACTTCAAGGTCGATTTCACAAAAACACATAAACTTTGTGTCTCACGTGGGATAAAAAAATCAAAGAAAACCTGTCTGCATTATCCTTTTCCCCCCAACTCCCAAGCGACATGGACGAGCTCGCCATCGACTTGCCCGGCCCGCCGCCGCCGCCGCTTCATCTCCCGCTTCCCCCGGACGACCTTCTTCTGGAGATCCTCCTACGCTTCCCTCCTGAGCCGATCTACCTCTTCCGCGCCTCCCTCGTCTCCAAGCACTGGCGCGTCCTCGTCCACGATGTCGGCTTCCTCCGTCGCTTCCGCGAGTTCCACGGGGGCACGCCTCCTATCCTCGGCTTCTTCAACTTTCCGGGGCCTCCGTTCTTCGTCCCCACCGGCGGCACCTTTGCCGTCTCCAAGGCTGCCAAGATGTCCCACGACGACTGGTGGGCCCTGGACTGCCGCCACGGTCACGCCCTCCTGGAAAGCCGTCCCGCCGGGGAGCTCCTCGTGTGGGACCTTGTGACCGGGGACCAACGCTACCTGCCGCGGCTCGAGCAGGCCTATCAGAAGGGCCTTGAGTACAATGCGGCGGTTCTCTGCGCGGCTGACCACAACGACTACCATTCGTGTCCGTTCCTCGTGGCGCTCGTGTTCAGCAGCCGGGTTGATTTCATCACCTCCGCCTGCGTCTACTCGTCCGAGACCGGCGTATGGGGTGACATCACTTCGATTCATGTACCGAATTCATTAGTTGGGGCCAATCCGACGGCTCTGGTTGGAAACACACTCTACTGGCTATTGGGCAACAATGGTATCATTGGGTTTGATTTGGATAAGTATAGATTTGATTTAATTGAGGAGGTGCCATATAGCTACAAGCAAGCTATCATCATCATGCCAACAGAAGATGGAGTTCTTGGTTGTGCCGGAGTTGATGGGTTCAAGCTCCATCTGTGGTCAAGGGAAGCTAGGATTCATGGAGTGGAATCATGGACACGTTGCAGGATCATTGATCTGGAAAAGTCCCTTGCGCCGGGAGTACCGGCACCCGCTGGCTATGCTGAAAACGCTAATGTGATATTCATTGATGTGTATTCTAGCGTCTACATGATCCATCTCAAGTCCATGAAGATCGAGGAGGTCACAGAGCAAAGGAACTGCATATACATTTTTCCTTACACAAGTTTCTACTCTCCAGGTATCGCCATTATATCTAGTGCCGCGTAGTTTACTTTAATATTCAAAACTTCATATGCCTTGTAGATGCTTTCAAATATGTGAGCCACAGTTTATTGCAGATGACAAGTTTTCATGGAGCTTCTTTTTAAAGAACGACTTATTAAATAACGAGCCCTTAATACTCTGCACTCTACTGATTATTGATTCCCGCATCCTCCCATGTTGTTTCTGGTTCTAGTAGGATTTGCTCATTCATTTCTTTTTCTTATCACTGTTGCACAAATTTACCGACAAGTACGTTTCACGCGAGAGCGGAAAAATAACCATTACACACAACTATAACTATGGGAAGCCCTGGCATTCTAACTTGCATGTGTTCACATATTTAATCTTCGGCTATACCCAAATCCTGGCATTTGCTTGTATCATAGCTAATACTCCCTCCGTTTGGAATTACTTGTCTCGGATATGGAGATACATCCATATCCGAGACAAGTAATTCCGAACGGAGGGAGTATTAATGAACTAGTTTATTTGTAAAGGGGAGAAAAGTCAATTTCTTGATGTTCTGGGCTATACATTTACATGTAAACAGTCAGGATTGTGTTTATTGCTAGAGTTTGGGCTTGTATATTTTTGGTCAATATGGCACCGTTAAAAGGTGATTTGTTACCAGTAAACATACTATTGAGGAACAATATGGTGTATGGTTGTATCCTGGCACCAATTCATAATTGCACTGTCCTTGTTGCCTTGTGCTGATATTAGATAGTGTAATCTTGCTGGCCCATGAGAGTTGATAAATTAAGGAACCAAAGTGACCAATAGTCCACCTTTTGTTTTTGTTGCATAATATATAACAACCAATCAGTGAGTCAATGCTGAACTATTTTCTCCTTCAGTTTAAGCAACTAAACTCTAATGTCTGGAGTCAGGACTAATGTTGCCTTCTCAGTTGCTTCAGCTTTGTGTTATGTTGAGAACTTGTGATTTAGAGTGGTTACTTGGTTTCTTAATTTTCTGGTACTCATTCTTTGTTCTGCAGTGTAGTAAAAGGTGTTCATTCTCGTATTCCTTCGCTCTCATGTGCATAAAAAACTTAAATATAAATTAACGTGCTGGTCTTTTGCTGGACTTCTAAGTTCTAACAACAAATGGGCTCACACCAAGACAATTCTGAAAATGCTTCATGGTCAAGTAAGATACTGAGCACTGTATCCTTCACTATGAGGTAAATGGTGTGCACTGTCTTTATGAATTATTTAGATTTTGCAATACATATCATTTGTTAGTTGTTCCTTGTAGAAAAAGCTAATATTTTGTGCAAGTTGAGATACATAACAATCGCTTTATTTAAGTGTCACCACATTTTATCTGTTTTGTCCTTGCCCACAGCTATCACTAGTTTATTGACTTATTCTTCTCGTAGGAATTGCCCTTGGCGGTCGAAATGATCAAGTTGAACCGTTGAGCAACAGCTGAGATGATTGTGCTATTACATCTGCTGACACGCTTTGTTGGTTAAACAGGTGATATGACATCTTCTTTACAATGTGTCTATTGTTTTGTTTGCAGTCAATGGATTGATATTCTGCAAAGGTAAAGAAAATAAATTAATCGCCTAGTTTGACCGTATTCGTATTTTCTCTTGGAGCTGTGAAACACTTCCTCCTGGATCTGCACAGTTCATAGTTCATTGTGCTGATGTGCTACCACAATGCAGTTTATTATGCCAGAAAATTTTATATCATTTTTTCAATATCCTTTTGCTTTATGATAAAACACAATGACTGGAAGGTTTCAATTCAATCCTTCGAATATGAACTCATGTTCCAATTGTGTGGGCTCAATAAATCTCAACTTTTGCTACTAATCATCTTAAGCCAAAAGTATTACTAGAAATCAAATGTTGCCCATGACTGATAATCTTGGCAGTACATTGTTCTACTCGTTCTTTCTCTGTTGAGATGTGCAAAGAGATGAGAGAACAAATTTAACTGGTAGAAACCGTTTTCCTAGTGCTGTTTGAACTTGCAGATATTTTTTTTTCTGTATTTTCTTCCTCATGAGTATCCAAAATCGGCTCTGCTGATGAGGTTCTTTGCTGCAGGTTCTGTTTTTTCTTTTGTTGCTGGGACGCAGAAACAACTTACTCATACTGGATGTTCAATCTTCGGTTGGTGACGCCTTAAAATGTGGAGCGGTCAATGTGGCTGTAAAAAAACTACTACTCCTTGATAGTTGTGTCATTAACTTGCAAAATGGCAGAAATTAATCGTGTGATGTTGTTGTCTTGAGTAATCTCTATTGATGTTGAGTAATCTCTATCCTGTGAATTGTTGTTGATGAGAAGAGCCTGTTCTGTTCAAGTTTTATTGCCCTTTGGTTGGCCATTTGTGCCTTCAATAGTTCAATAATGCGATGTAGCCCACAGGCTGACCCATCGTCCCGACGCCTTCCTTCTCCTTCAACACCCAGGCCCAGGAGATCCCCACCGTCGCCCACGATGCAGCCCTGGATCTGCATCACGATGGTGCCCGTCACCTGTTCGACGGAGTCCTCGACCCAGGTCCATGACGCCACCACCGCCGTCCACCTCGAGCCCGCGGTCGACTCCATCCACCAATCAGTCAAGCAGCTCACCCCCGTGCAGCCAACGGCCTCCATCGGCACGAGCACTCCCTCTACCGCTGAGGTCGTCGTTCCTCCCGTGACTACCACCACTGACGTTGACCCCAAGGTCGGCTTGGAGGAGCTCCATGCCTTCTCTGTCAACAACTCCACCCCAGTGATGAGTGACGCGGCCCACGGTGACGCAAACCCCATTGATGTCTATGCTCAGCTCAGTTGTGACACACTCACCTCCCACGACCATAGTCGACACTTTCCTTGAGCAGTCAGCTCCATTGTGCAACAACACAGAGAACATCCTCGCATTTGCGTTTTCCGAAGAAGAATTGCAACTGAAAGAAAAACAGTTGAAACCATGGCCACCACCAGTGGGGGCCATACACATGGGGCACATGTTCAGGCCTAGGCCATGGCCGTTGTTAAAGTATCATTCAGATGCAGGCTACCCAGAGGAGTCATGTTCAGGTATACATACTCAGCCATACGATATTTCATGGTTCAGTTCTGGGATCGTTATGTTGTTATTCAGAGATGAGGATTTTATTCCAAATTCTTGTTGTGAGATGACTCCCATGGAACAGGCTTTCAGTTTACAAGCTGTTGAGATTTGGCAATATATACATGATGATACAAGGTTGCTCCTGTGGCCACCAACTAGTCCAGAAAAATGTAGCAATAGAGTGGTGAAGGAAAAATCAGGCAATGGAGGTTACACTGTGCATCTGGCAGTCGAGGCTATGAAAATGCAACCCACTGAAATATTATTGTTCCTCCTACCACTGATTTGGTAACCGAACGAAATTTCGTGATTTCGCGCGGTTACCGCGTTTACCGTCACCCCTCGAGAAACACTCATAACAAGCAAAATATCCTGAATATTTTGAAATTTTTGAATTCAAACGCTCACTATCGAGTTAAATATAGAACATCTCTGTTATGATAGCAGAACTAGTCGTGGCGTAGTGGCAAAGAGAACGTATCCTGTGTAACCGAGCTGACTCGTGCACCAGGTGCTCGGACGGAACAGCAGCCCTTCGATGAAAAAGAGAGGGATAGGATGAGGAGCAAGGGGAGCTGCTGGTACTTTTTGCAAAACAGACCTTGAAGTGCAGCTTTCGGCCTCCGAAATTCGGTTCGTCTATCCCCTTTTCCCCCTGTTCTGTACCACTGCTTGAGGTCGCCGGCTGATCTAGGGCTGACCGAAAATTGGGCGAATTGACCCTCTCCCTCTCCCTCTCCGGCTTCCGGCGTTGAAACACCAGCGCCCAAGATCCAAATTATGATGTCCAGCGGCGGCTAGCTGTCATTGCATCTCTGTAGCCACACCGGCCTGTAGCTATGTGGATCGACGGTACAACTGCATACGAGCGGACCATCGTACTTTACAGCTCAAGGATCCAAGGTATGTACACCGAATTTGGTTGTCATGTTATTCATGTGCGGTCATATATTGGTACAATGAACAAAGGAAAAGGGAAATAGACGAGCTGAGTTTGAAACCAGAGTACTGTTAGAGTTTATGTGCGAGATGCCGAGATGCAGCCGTAATTGAGAAGTCTTACCACTACTACGGCTAGTGGAAAATAGATTAGGGATGTGTCTACATACAGCAGCAACCACCATAAACTCTCTTTGACGATATCAGATGGTAAAAATATGTCTGGTTAGCTAAGCAGGTTCAACAAACAACGACAGTACCATTTCCTTTCATTGGCAGTTCAGCAGTAGGATTGTACTGTGAGAATGGAAAAAGAACGCTAACAATACAATCTAGTTGTTGGCAAGCACTCAAAATTCAAGAAAACCAAATTGATTCTATTAAAGAAAGAGAGTGTGTACAATTGGTAAATGCTATGAAATGTTTTGTTCCATCTTAAAATCGACATAGCTTCTCAGAGTTGAATCATATCTTTACTCTGAACTAGTAATGTTCCTGTGGAATTACTAGTTGTTTCTGTAATTGGTCGAATCGTATCTATACCTAGGAACTTATCTAGAGTGAATTGCAAAAAACCACCACATTAAAGCGTAGGTTGCAAAAAAGACTCACCTACGAATTTGTGCCCGAAAACACTGATTCTTAGCCTAATCTTTTGCAGAAAACACTAGTTGATGGCTTTAGCCCATTTGATGACGATTATGACAGATGGAGCCCACCATTTGCTGATGTGGCTAACGGTCTTTTTGCCAAAACATCCTTCCCTCCCTAAAAAATCCTCCCCTAAAAAACTACCCTCTCCCTGCTCCTCCACCTCCCTCCTGCGCGCCCCCGCCTCCCAGCGCCACCACCTCCCTCCCGACGCGCCCCCGCCTCCCAGCGCCGCCACCTCCCTTCCCGGCTACGACCCCGACGCGCAGCTTGGCCTGCCATGCCAAGCTCGACCCGCCTTGACGGGGAGGAGGAGGGATGAGGCGTG